TTATGGGCTCCTAAGTGGTAACTCGTGAGAGAAGAATTCTATGGGGGGAAATTTCGTCCGTTTTGCTCTATCTTGTACCGTTTGGGTGCAAGGGGGCATCTCTGGACAAAATGTCGTGAAAATGACCAAATAGTCTATTAAACCGTAGAAAAGGCTTTATATCAAAAAAATGTGTATACACTCCTATTCACTCGTCTCAGGTGTCAGCGCCGCAGGCCTAGCTATATGTGCGCCAGGCGCGTCGCAGCGTAACAGTGTTTCGTGAGATATCGCGAAGCCTGTTACGCGAGACGTGGTCTGGCGTACATATAGCTAGTATCTCATCAAATAACTCCAGGTGAATTCCTACACGCTGCTTCATGGGTAGTAGAAGGTGCAGTACATCATGGCGGAGTATGTCATTGTGGAGATCAAAAAAATTCGCACGACGGGGGCGGTGGCGTGCAGAGGAGAGGACAGGAGCGAGCAAGAAGAGGAGGCAGGCCCGGCCCCTGCCGAACGGAGTTGCTGGCGGAGCGAAGCGGACCAGGCAACTTCGTTTGACGGAAGGGCGGGCCTGCTTGTTTATATTCTTAACTCTTTTGTTACTTGTTTCTTTTTAAAAAAAAATTGAACATGTGGGTAAACATATTACAGTGATTTTAAAATTTATGTTCATGTACCTGAAGTATTACCTGAATTAACTTTAATTTTTTATGTGGTCTGTTTTTTTATTACAATTGCTTTATGTCCTTACTATGAATAAAAAAAATTAAGGCTTGTGGTATCAAGCAAATCAAAATATTTTGTTGTACATAACCATCACTGTCACAGTTTTAAAAAATTCAATGGCTATATACAAGTTACTTCTCAGTTTGCATACTGAATAATTATTACAGAGAGTTGCATAAGTTCCATCTTCGCTGCTCCCCACGAACTTAGCGTTGGTTGACTACAGCTGCGGCATTCTGCTCCTCGAAAGGATCAGGAATATCACCCACTTCATCCTGAATGTCATCCTCATTCCATATGCGAAATCTATTCCGTCTTCTAGATCTGGGTGATCTTCTCCAATAGCAACCTATTTATGAAGGGTGAACGTGAAACTGCGTAAGTACATTAAGCCATGCTCAGCCAATATATTGAAAAGGTTTAAAACATACCAGAGGGCATTCTTCACCGTGGTAGAGTCTGAAATTGTGCAGAACAAAGGATGCACAGGTGTGATCCACCATGTAGTCTATAATATACACAAATATATTGC